TTCACCTGTGCCACAAAGTATGGCCTCTTGAGGGAATAAAGCCCATTCGATCCATGGTCCTAGTAGACCAGGTCTACAGTCTAATCTTCCAACATTACTTTCACCAGTGCCACTCAGTATGCCCTAATGCGGGGCCAAAGCCCATTGTATCCAGAGTCCTAGCACATCAGACCCACCCACTCTTCCACCAGCATTACAATTGTTGTGCCACTCAATAGGGCATATTGAGAGAACAAAGCCCAGTACCGGTGGATGAGGCCCACCAACTAATTTCCCACATTTAAATTGATCTTTGCCACATGGCACTACCTAATGAGGGAGCAAAACCTATTGTGTCCATAGTCCCAGCAGACCAGGCCTACTGAGTAATATTCCAACCTTACATTCAACTGTGCATGAGGTTGACTGTCTAATCTCCCAACCATAATTTAACTGTGCATCAAGCCCGCCAACTAATCTCCCAACCTTACATTTACCTGTGTCGGGTGGCATGCCCTAATGATGGAGCAAAATCCACTGTATCCAGACTCCCAGCAGACCAGACCCACCAACAAGTTCCCAACCTTACGTTCAACTGTGTACCAGGCCCGCCAACTCCTCTCCCAACCTGACTTTCACCTGTGCCAGGTGGCATCCCCTAGTGAGGGAGCAGAGCCATACCATACCATAGTCCAAGTAAAGGCGTGCACAGGGAGCAGGGTTTGGGAACAGGAAGTCGTAATGGTCACCTCAGAGTAAAACCCACCATAAAGGAGAATGATGTTGCATCTAAGTGAATCACTAAATTGAACCCTGCCTCTATTGAGCTAAAAAACTAGTTATCAGTTCAGCCAATCCCGGCTAGGAGTCTAACAGAACAGGTTTCATATCGAGGGCGTGGCTAGCACCCAGATCATTCACCCCACGCTCCTGGCTGTGAGGGTCCATCACACCGGGGGTCATTTGCTGCCAGGGGCAACTCAGTTCCTTCGTCCCCAGGAAGACCCGTGTCACACAGGGAATGGGGGTCTGAATGAAATTGGACTCTGTGACCACCCACCCCCCTAGGTAATGCAAAGTCAACCCAAACTTGAAGCCTGCTCACCCCAAAGGAGGAGCGCTAATGTGCATCCACACCACCTACCTTGGAGCCCAGACTCTGAGCCCTCACTGTCCTGTGGGGAGCCAGGTCAAAGTGTCTTTGTTTCTCTTCCTTGCTAAGCTTGGCTCTAAGCGAAACTTTCTGGCGGGCCAGAAAGATGGCCACTGGTAAGAGAAACTGAGTCACTACATCACCTTCCCTCAAACCGTTGCCAACATAAGCCATCAGACTCCTCCTTGGGAAGCTGGCTCTATAATTACAGAGGAATCTATAAATTGCTCTTTATTGATGCCAAGAACTTTATTTAACCTCAAACCTAATACATCGTGTGTGCATACGCGCATGTGCAGGCCTCCAGGGAGAGGCTGGCTGTCGTCCACAGCCATATTGAGTACTGGGTATTTTTGCACCATCCTAATTTAGTCTTTATTTATACAGGTCTAGCGATACACTGCATATACCGAAACAAATCCTGCTGAGTATATTAATACTCCAGCCCAGAGGCAATGTGCTCCTGCACTGTATCTTTAATAGTCCAGTGTTCTGGGAGGCCATGTACGCAACCCCGTGCAGGGTGTGGTTCAGGGTCTGCATGTCAGCGAGGGCAGCCGGATGCCAAGCACTATGGCCAATGGGGGGAGGAGCGTAACGAAAAATATGGTTGGGGGCAGAGCCAGATTCCAGCTCCAGTTCTGATGCGAATTGATCGTTGTTTGGGAGCAAAGGACTTCTCCTCTCTGGACCTCAGTTTCTTCCTTTATAACCCGAGGTGGCTGCTCTTTCATGTTTCAAGTTCCCTTCTAGGCTCTGGGAGTCTATACATGCAGTGCCCTACATCATTATGGGATGGAAGAGAGGGAGAGGGGGAGACCGAGAGATGAGGGAGAGGAGGAAGGAAGGACAGAGAGAAGAGAGAGAAGGGGAGAGCTGAAAGGGGGCCAAGCCCAGCGGAGCCGCTCTGACTCCAGATACCTTTAGTGCAATGCCATTTGCAAGAACAGACTGAGACAAGAAAAAGCTAGGAGAGGTAGTGGGAGAAACGAGCTCCCTCGTGCTCCTGAGTACTTACTCTCCTGTGCGATTCAGTCTCTTGAGAAGTTAAAACAACAACTTCAAAGCCTGTTGTTCTAGTTAAAGTTCATTTTAGTAAGAGAAACATAGAACTCTGTATGAAATCAAAATGCATTAGAATCACAGTACTCTCTCTTACCACCTACCTGTTCCTTATCTTTAAGGTGGAGGGCAGTGGGCAGTGCCTGACTGGGGGAAAACGCTAGGTTCTTGAGGGATGAGGAGGGAAAGGGGGGTTGAGAAGATAGAACAGTAGGTGGAAGCTCCTCTGTCAACAAACCTCCTGTCAAAGGAGAGAGAGGAGTAAGCCTCTAGGGCTGGGTAGATCTGTCCCCATTGAGTTTCCGAGAGCAGAGAAGGAAGACCCGGGAGGAGGGAGAGCCAGGAAGGGAGGAGGGTCTGGGAGGAGGAGTTATGGAGGGAGGTGAGCTTGATTTTAACCTATGAGAGGAACCATTTGAGCCGCAGAAACTTAAACCAAAGCCACTACCCTCCAGACCACCTGACTTAGAGCGCCCCTGGAGCACAGAGTAGAGCTGCCCCCTAGCTTTCTAAGGCTGCCATCTTGGCAGGAGCCCTTGTGGCCTAGTGGTCATGTGTTGGGCTACCAACTCCAAGGTCAACAGTTCGAAACCACCAGCCGGTCTCTCAGAGAAAGACAAGGCTTTCTACCCCCGTTTAAGAGTTACCGTCTGGGAAACTCAGTGGGCAGATCTACCCTGCCCCAGAGGCCAGATCTACCCTGCCCCTGCCCCAGAGTCAACACGGGCTCGGTGGCCTTGAGAGACTTCTGACATGCGTAGATGCCTCATTGGTAGCAGCCCAGCCCTTCACCTGCTGCACCATCTGGGCTCGAAGCAGCGGGCGTGGCCAGTAACACAGAGGAGACAGGCAGTGCCGCAGGGATAGACTCTTGAGGAGGGGCCAGGCCTGGGGGGGCAGGAACTGCACTTCCTGTAGCTCATACTTATGCTGCATACCTGCAGAGCGAGGACCCTACTTCCGTGTGTCACTAATTGACTGCTCACAGCCACTCTGGGAGTCAGAGACCATTGTTGTCCCCGTCTGATGGGTGGAAAAGCAGGCAGGGAGGCAAAGGCACCTGTCAAGGGCCCTCAGCTGGTGGGTGTGGGAGCTGGGGCCAAGCCCGGCCAGGAGCCTGCACACACATTCGAGGTAGTTGCTGACCAGGAAGGGATGGCGTGTCCATGGGACACGGGCGCTGAAGGCTGGGATTGCAGAGGAAGAGGCTGCGGTGTGGGGTTGGAGTTGGGGTAGAGGTTTGGGGTGGTAACAGGGACGCCTGAGCTCCCCACTGCTGGGGACTGAGAAGAGACGCAGCGGTGGCTGACAGGGTTCTGCTGGCAGGAGGGAGACAGTGGTGGTGGGGGATGGGGACTAAGGACATGGGCTGGAGCAAGCAAGCAAAAGCAAACACAGATGGGCCAGGAAGAGGAGCAGAGGCCTTTAAACCAGCGGTTCTCCACCTGCCTAATGCCACGACCCTTGCATACAGATCCTCGTTGCTGCTTCATAACTGTAATTTTGCTACTCTTATGATTCATCCTGTAAGTATCTGATATGCAGGATGTATTAGGCAACCCCTGTGAAAGGGCAGTTCAACCCCCCAAAAGGGTCGAGACCCACAGGTTGAGAACCACTGCTTTAAACTCTACCCCCAAGTCAGTGCCTGAAGTGTCCAGCTGGGCACCTCCTTCTGGGAGGCTGGGGTCCCTTTCTCAGAGCTTCTGTGGCCCTGAGGTCGGGAGGGCCTTGCAGCCCAAAAGGACACCTTCAAATCGCCATGCTGGTTGTGGGGGAGGGGTATAGGTGGGGGAGAGTGTCAGGGAGAGGCCCAGGCCTAGGATACAAGGGTCTGGGTGACCGTGAACAAGTCATGTAACTACTGTGGCTTTGGTAATCTTCCAGGTCCCCTGGCCTACAGCAAGAGGGAGTCATGTCCACTCATACAAATCCTGGGATGACCACGCCCCCTTGTGCCCATCCCGTGGGGCTCTCCCTGGTCTGGACCCACCTAACTACCCAGCCTCACCACCAAGTACCCCCAACACAAGCTTTCCATCTGAGCCCGTGTATCTCAAGCGTAGGTTTCGCAGTCAGACAGCCTGTTTTCCAATTCAAGGGCCGCCTCCTCCGAGAAGCCTGCCCTGGTAACAGTCCTTGCAGCTGACGCTGCCTTCAACCCCACCACCCTAACCTGTGGCATTCCGGTCTGCTGTGCAGCTTCTGCAGAAGCACCCTCAGACAGTCCCTAGCTCCTGTGTCTCCCAAAGGACTTGCCACAGCCATCCACACTGAGCACCTTCAGGTGCTGGGCGCCGTGCTCAGTCCGAGGCTGCAGGAGCATGGCCCTGCCCTCAGAGATAGAGTCCAATGAGAGGCAAACCAGTAACTGGGCACCAGCTCTTCCCACCCCCATGTGGTTCCCAGGTGCTGAGAGGACATGCAGTTGGGTGGAGGGGTGGTAGCGGGGAAGGCTTTAGACATAGCATTTCAACAGGACCCCAGAGTTAGCCTGAAGAGAGGGTGGGCGCAGCCCAGGAAAAGACAAAGGGAGGAGGCGTGTTTCATGTCCAAAACCTAACTGTGCCAAGACCCACAGGGGTAAGAAGGGGAGTGGGGGTGGGGACGGGCTACACTAGAGCAACCAGAGGTCCAGGTGGGTGGCAGAGGCTTGGGGAGGGACCACAGCAGGATCCAGCAGCCCCCTCACCTCGGCAGCCAGATGGGGCCCTGAGCACCTGGTCTGGAAGTCAGGGCCTTCTGCTAAGTGTAGGCAGGTGGGGGAGGCCGTGTCCTACCTGTCTGTCTGTCGGTCTCTCTGCAGCTACCGAACCCTGGCCACGGAGCACGAAGGGCTGATGCAGAAGTACCTGCACCTGCTGCAGATTGTGGAGACAGAGAAAACGGTGGCTAAGCAGCTGCGGCAGCAGATCGAGGATGGGGAGATCGAGATCGAGCGGCTGAAGGCGGAGGTGACCTCGGTGCGGGTGGGGGGACCTGGCTCTAGGGGCACACAACCTGCTGGGTCAGGGTGGACGGGGGCGAGGGGCAGCTCCAATCCAAGATGGACAATCGACCACCAAGAGATTGCAATGGGGAATGGATGAAAGAGACCCCCTGCTGTGAGTCACTCCTTACCATGGAACATACCTAACCCAGCGCCTAGGCAGAAGCCTCCTCCTGCTGGCCCGGAGGACCAGCATGGTCACGGGGAGGAGTTGAGGGGGTGGACATGCAGGTGATAGGCTGCAAGCCCTCGGGCAGGCTCCAGCATCCCCGTCAGATTTCACTTACAAAGCAAAGTGATGGAGGATTTCATCACTCAGAGCTTTAAGCCCCAAGCTGGGGGCCCTTCTGGGCATGGGACCCTGCCCACCCTGCCTGGTACATGTCCCAAGATCCAAAGCCAGGTTGTCCATCAGCAGTCCAGCCCTGACCTGCACAGTGACAGAGAGGGGCATCCGCTTGGGCCTCAGATTCGGTGTCCTGCCTCGGGCGCAGCACCAGGCCCCTGCCCAACAAGATTCATGATTCAGCCCTCTCTGCCACCCTGGCAGGCTCACGCAGGCTCCTTGTCCATGAGGAGCCAGGCCAGAGGTCCTCCAAGGCCCTGCCCAGGCTCACACAGCCCAGAAAAGGCAGGCCTGGGATTGTTACCCAAGCCTGCACCCACTTTGCTAGTCTTCCCACTACACTCTGTTCTCCCAGGGAGCCCAGCCCAGGCCTGCGTGCTCTCTGAACCACTGCGTTTGTTCTGGAATCCATCCTGGGACCAGCCCCAGGGGTAGGCCAACACAGACCCCCTCCACCCACACTGAGCCCCTGTGAGGGGCGAGGAGAGGCGTCTGATGCAGGTCCAGGTTATTTGCTCCGTGATAAGGGTATATGCACGCACACCTTCCTTCATTCACTAACTAAACACACCTGACCACCTGCCACAGACCTGGGGAACCCTGGTGGTGTGGCAGCTCAGTGCTGAGCTGCTAACCAAAAGGCTGGCAGTTCGACCTCACCAGCATCCCCTGGGAGAACGACGTGGCAGTCTGCTTTCCTTACAATTTACAGTCTTGAAAACCTTCGGGGCGGTCTGACTCTGTCCTATGGTGGTGCTGTGCGTCCAAATGCACTCAACAGCAGGGACCCCCAAGCACCCTCCTCTCTGGTGACCCACGCCTGGCTCCTTAGAGTCGCTGTGCACAGCCCACCTCTAGGTCTTTGCCCAGGCGGGGGCTTCTGCTGGGAACTCCTGCCCATCCCCACTCGTCCCCACCAGTGGAATCCTACCACGTCAGATGGTTCCCCCAGAGGACACCCCCACCATCTATCATCCAACATTCCCACACTCACAAGCCACTTCAGAGCCACCTCCCCCTGTGTCTGCCACCTCCTCTCACCTGGCAGGAATTCCTAGCGGGCCTGGTCACTCTCTGCCTGGCCCTGGTATGCAGCGGTCCTCGGGGGAACCGGTGCACAAATCAGCCAGGTTCTGCGGTGGCCGCAAGGGTCCCATCACAGGGTGATGGGTGCTGTCACAGAGGCGCAGTGTGACCCAAAGAGGGCACGGGTAGGCTCCGGTCTCCTGTGGCCTTGAAGAGTCTGGGTTGGGGGTAGGGGGGTTGTAGGTCAGAGAAGAGGTGATTACAAAATGAGAGACCCCTGTGGTGTGGGGCGCAGAAAGCAGGTGTGTGAGTGAGTGATTTGCAGTGAGTTAGGCACTGAGCTATTAACTGAAAGGCCGGTGAGTGAAACCCACCAGCCATTCTGTAGCAGAAAGCGGACTGTCTGCTCTCGTAAAGATTCACCATCTTAGCAATGATGGCAGTGAGCGTTTGGCCGTGGTTAGGGAACAACTGTGGACCCTGGCTGCTTCTCGGTCCTTCTGATTGCCAATAAAATGTCTCCAGTCCCTCATTCCACGTATGCGTGAGGACACCCACCTCTCACGCTCAGGTGCTGCCCTCCTGGCCACTTCTACGGCTGCTGTCCTCGTCCTGGCCTGGACTCCTCGTCATCCCGCGGCTCTTTCAGCATGGACTCGCTCCTGCCTCAGGAACAAAGAGCCTCAACTGCTTCGTGGCTTAAAACACCCCCCGCTGGTGTGTGCACGACTGCTCTGGGGTTCTACGAAGGGCTCCCCTCACCACACACTGCCCCTCTCAGCATCCAGGACACGCGCGGCTTCCACCATCGGACATTCTCCATCACAGGCCAGCTGGGGAGAGGGTCTTGGACAATGACGCCTCTACGCCAGTCTCATTGGACAGTGCAAGTCACGTGAGCGTGCCCAACTTCAAGGGCATCTGAGGAACATAATCCTGCCTCAGCCGAGGAGAACCAGAATATCAGCGAAGGCCCTGAAAACTAGCACCTGTGGCTCCTCGCAGGCCCCTCAGCTCAGGCTGTTCTATGTAGCAGACTTCTCTAGAGGTTTGTCTACCAAACCAAAAGTAAACCCACTGCCATCAAGGCAATTCTGACTTATAGAGGCCCCGTGGAACGGACTAGAACTGCCCACGAGTTCCCGGGACCATCACTCTTTATGGAAAGCTTCGTCTTTTTCCTTGGCAGGTGACTGATAGTGTCGAACCGCTGACCCTGAGGTTAGCAGCCCAACACATAACCACTATGCCACCAGGCTCCCTAAAGGTTTATATGCAGTGGAGGCATATGCCACCACAGAAGGAGAAACAGCTTAAAAGCACGGCAGACATCCCTGCAGCAAGCCTTTTAGGCTGTTCTGGGCTGTGGGCTGCGATCGAGTCACCCTGACTCAGGGCAGCCCCGCACACAGTGCGGTCAGATGGTGACGATCCACAGGTTGGCACTGACTGGCTTTCAGAAGTAGATTGTCGAGTCTCCCTCCACAGTCCGTCTTAGCCTGGAAGTTCCACTGAAATCCTCGCAGCATCAGATATTGACGGGTGGGCCCTGGCGGTGCATTGGCCGGCAGTCAGACCCACGTGTCCATGTGGAAGGCAAGAACTGGACCTATGCTCCTCCGCCGCCCCGTCACATACAAGGACTGCCCGCTGGCCTCTCCTGTCTGCACACTCCCCTGTGCCTTTTTTGTTGTCCATAATCTCTGTCTCTACCGAGACCCCAGCCTGCGGCTGGCGGTGTCCTGGGCCAGCCCCTCCCAGCGTTCAGGAGCCAATTGCTAAGTTTCTAAGCGTTTGTAAGCTGGTTGTTAAACCTTTGGTCGCCTGAAATGGGCTGTAGTAGGAGTGTTTACACCATGGCTATTGGCAAGCTCTGCCCGTTGGTTTTCTTTCAGAGAGCTGACGTGTCGCACCTACCAGCCTAGCACACCGTCTGCGTCTCCCCTCGGGGCCAGTTACATAATCTGTGGGGCCCTGTGCAAAACGAAGAGGTGCCTCTGAAGCGTGGCTGCAAAGAGTATCCAGTGTGCCTCCGCCTGAATATGAAGGCGCCCATCTGTCTGGGAAGAAGCACTCTCAGGGTGCTCCTCGCAGACGGAGGACACCCAGACTTCCTCTCGCAGGCCTTGAAGACAGTACCAGGAGAGGCCAGTCCCTGGAGAAGGACATCGTGCCTGGGAAAGCAGAGGGGGCAGCGACAGCAAAAGACAAGACCCTGGACGAGATGGATGACCACGGGCTCTAACATACCAACTGTGAGGCCGGCGCAGGACAGGCAGGGTTTCCTTCTGCTGGACACAGGGGTGGTCGTGGTGGGCTGGGACCTGCTGGGAGACATCTGGCAAGCGCAACATGGAAATGCCCTCTGGGCTTTCAAGGTGGCGAATGACAGGCATTAAGCCAAGGCCTGGGTCCTTCTCAGTGTGGGGCTCTGTGAGACTTCCCAGCCTATCTCTCCCCCTCCATGCCTTCCCCACCCCGGACTTGCTCCATGTGGGCAGCAGGGGATCACACCCAGACCCGTTCATTCTATTTTACAACGAAGATAAAGTCTTGGTCTCTCCCCCCCACCCCCCATCTAAGCCATTCCATCAGCTCTCACCTTTCATAGCCCAAACCTTACTCTAGGAACCATCCCGACCCAAGGAAGCAGCTACCTCAGAGAAGAATCCTCCCTCCCAAGAAATGGTACTCGGCCCGGCACCATTTCATTTTTGGAAAGCCAGTTTTCTCCTGGGTGTGATTGGAAGTGAATGCGAGAGAGGCGGCCGGCCCCCACAGGGCAGTGCAGGCCTTCATGCGCGTTGGGATCGTTCACGGAAGCACTCGGGTTCCGGGACAGGCAAGTCTGGAGGAAGCTGAAGAGGCCTCTAGCTCGGGGTTCAAGCCACAAATGTAGTCGTGGAATGTGTTTTGCAAACAAACTTGGCGGTGGAACCTCTAGCTATACAATAGGTAAATAAAGGAACTGCTCTGAAGAAGTAGAGAAGGAAGGGCCAAGCCCTGCTCACTCAGCACCTTCCCTCACCAAGGCCCACCCCCATGCCCTGACCCCCTGCTCTGTCTCTGCCTCTACCAGCCCCCATCCGACACACCCGCTACCCTGACACATCCCCTCTACTCCAAGTCCCTCCTTCCCACAGCCCATAACTTGGACTCCTGCGTATCCCTCAAAACCTCTTCTGGGACGTCCTTGCCATTTCTGTGGTCAGGCCCTCCCATGTCAATGGGCGCAGGCCTTGTTTGTCGGATTGTCAATTACCTCTGCGGCTGGCTGACCTCCTTCTTAGGGGAGTGTGGCTGAAAGCCCCCCTCTGACTTAGCCCCCTCTGGCGCTATTTGATCCAGCACACAGACACCATCAGGACATGCTGAGGGGGTTGGCAGAGAACAGAACAAAAGCATGTGCCTCCTGGGCTTTGAGGAGACTAGAGGGGAGCGAGCCGAGTTGGGTGGCAGCTGCCTAAGAAACAGGAAATGCAAAGATCTTTAGCAGAGTCTGGGCTGCCAACAGAGTGGGGAAAGCCTGGATTCCTTCCACCATCCATTATTGCATTGAATAAACACATTCCAAACTGAAGAAAGGCTCCCCAGAGAGGGTGGGGCCAGCGCCAATGGGCGGCCATCTGGGGAGCACCGGAGGCAGGGGCCACCCTGGATACCACTGCCTGACCCCAGCATGGAGCCAGGCAGCCATTGCTGTTCTGCAGCAGGTGCATGGGGTTACAAAGCAAAGGTCACCTCCATTAACCTTTCCACCGAGCCGGGCCTGGATATCCACCAAGCAAAGCAAGCCCAAAACCAATCATCCCATAACGTCCCTGCCGAGGGTCCAGAACGGTAGCCTGTGTGAGCTCAGGGGCTGCCTGCTTGCAGGGATGGCTTTCGGATTAGGGGTCCCCAGGCCCAGTACTCGCCAAAGCTTTGCCCAGCCAGCCGGCCCGTAAAGAAAGACTCGGAGCCTGCTGGTGCTGCCTGGGCAGGGAGCAAAGCATCTGACCTAATTGCATCTATTTGTCGCTCTGGTCCCTGCTGAGTGGATGTCCTGGAGCAGGGTGCCGTCACTTTTAAATACAGGCTCTCGCTCCCCCACAGACATATCACCATCCTAAAGAGGAAAGGATGTGCAAATCCCAACCCGGAGGCAAAATCCGAGGAGCTGAAGGTGATAGTCAGCCATCAGGCTGATGGTGGCCGTGTTGACTGGGTCTTCCTGCGTCCTAGAGAGCTGTGTGTGTGCAGTGTGTGTGTGTGTGTGTCCATCCCTTAGCCCTGCAGAATACAGGTCCAAAATATCAGCCTTTATTTCCATGTGCAAATGTTTTCAGCGTATGAGAGAGAGAGAGAGAGAGAAAAGAGGAGCGCGGAGAAGCATAGCCCGTCTCCAGCGCTGAATATTTGTCAGTGAGATATTTTCAGCCACTCTTCAAGCAGAGGCAGGGGTAATTTTAGCAACCGGGGAGTGGAGAGTGGGTAACGGTTCCATTTTGCTTTCAGAGTGCTCGGTGCGCTCCATTGTGAGAGCCCATTCATCCTGCTGTTCAGCAAGTGGCCTTCAGGGGACAAAGCCACGTGTTCTAAAGAGGCCTTGTTGCCGGCTTGGTGGCAACGGTGTTTGTAGGATCCCGTGTGACTATCTTTAGATGTGTGGGGCTCTGTGACTGC